ATCGCTAAATTTTAAATAGTGTCTACAACAATTTTTTAAAGCATAAAACTTAAGCTTTTATGCCCCAAGCCGTAAGAAATTCATTCAATCAATCATGATAGATTATTTTTCTTATGGGCCTTCTATAATAAGCCATTAATCATAAATAAGAAGTCAGAAGTTAAAAATTGACGACTATGATTGATCAATTTCTAGTTATTGTAGAATGCCTCTAACATTCTATCGATTAATTTTTTATGACTTAGGACTTAAAGTTTAAGATTTTGGCCTTGAAATTTCATTATATCGCCGCTTAAACATGTATCCATCAGGTACTGCCAAATGCAAGTGCAGAATGAGATACGATTGCCCAGTGCAGGATTGCATTCAGGGTATCAATCATGAAACTTTATCCTTAGGATGAAAAGTGTGAAAAGTGAAAATTTTTATTAATATTTTGAAATTAATAGAGAAATTTTTCACTTTCCATCTTAGGGATAAAATTTCATGATTGATACCCAGAATTGTTGTCCAAATACACCAGATCGTTTTATCCTTGTTCGCATGAATGTTAAATAAAGATAAAAGAACATCTGGGTACACCCAGAATAATATAATTCTGAACGCAGCTCAGGCAGTTATTTTCTTTTTTATTGGTGTGCGTAACTATTCGCTATTATCGCTTGTAGTAAACAACTTGTCCGCACGTTTATGCCTACTGCATACTGAACGTGATGAGCGATGAACGATAACGTAATGAAAGCTTTGCATTATCTCATGAAAAAAAGCAGAACTTTTATTGGATATCACTTGTTAATCGCATTTAATATGTAGGCATTAACCACCATAATCGATGGACATATAAACATTTGACCTATCGGATACGCTCTTTTAGCAATTGGCTACGTTTACAAGGCTCAATTTGTAGCGAAGTTACAACATCGATGTTATGAAATTGGCCAATCATAGCTATTTCTCTGAAGAATGAAATGACTATGATTGGTCATTTCATAATCAATGTAACTTCAGCGTAAATTGAACTGTGTATAAACGTAGTCATTTATGATTACAATCAATATCTCTCTCATTAATTGCGAAAATTGCAACAAAATGATAGTGAACTTTTCGATTCGGTTTAATCCGCTTTATCTGGATACTAGTATTGTCCTAAATATTCTGAGACACTCTGTATTTATGTGTATATAATACATAAAATGTATTAGAGCTATAATTTTATCCTCTTTCTCTTCCGTAACGCAATAACTCTACATATTGAAATCGATAATATATTTGGAACATTTTATTTTGTAGTGAACATCGTTAAAATCCGATGTAACATATCGTGATCTTAATCAGCAGTTAATTCACTTTTTAGCGACTCTTAAAAATTATGCATTTATTGGTATGATAAACATTGATGTAACATTTATATTTATATTGTGAAATTTTCTGCGTTACCTACAAAGGCAATTTACTTCAAAATCTTGATACATCTAAAAGAAATTTAGGGAAATGTAGTTGTAAGAAATTTTCGTATTGATAGGACGATCGAAATAAGTATATTTTATTTCTGTTCATTTTTGCGAGTTTTCTTCATTATACTTTAGAGAAGAAAATGTAATTCACGCTCTTATATCCTTGTCTATGTTCTTACCAATTTTTCTGTCCTCTCATTAAATATAGTAGAGCACGAGGTACAACGTGCATGTATGTACATCCATACAGAGAACTTAGAAAGGAATGTACTTGAATGTAACTTGAATTTATTTATGATATAATTTGGATATAATTTAAATATAATTCGAATTTGTTTAAAGAAGAAAAAAGGACATCGGCTGTGTTCGGGTAGCGCATTGCTAACACTACTATATCTCTTTTCATTTTATATCTAATGAATGATTGATAGATGCGAATGGCATAACAGTGTCGCATAGCGCGCTCCCTGAACACGGTTAAATATAGACTGTGCATTTTTTTTTTATCAAATTGTCACTATCGGTTTAAAAAGAGTCAAGTAGCAGTCCTAGGATCTGCACATCCCCGTCTCCTCTTTTTTTCTCGCTCACTCAAGTATCGAGTTGAAGAAAGATGCAGTTCAATATAATGCATTTTAACGAAGCACAGATGCTAAGGTCAAGGAATGCGCAGACTGTATCCATTGTATCTATATCAAAATAATACAACTTTCTTTTTCTTTAATAATTTAAATGAGCATTCAAAATTATAATTTTATTTATTTATATACATACTATTTGGTTACGACACTGTTCAATATTTAAGCAGTCCGAATATTTTTTATTGGCAGAACCAGTGCACATTAAAGCTGTTGTACACTGTTAAATCTAAATGTAAAAGTGAAATATCTCAATTGATAAAATGCCCAATGTATATTTTATCAAATGATACAATAATATCAAATGTATCAAATATTTCGCGATTTAATTCATTTTTATGTTTTTATTAAACATACATCTTTACATCGATTTTTGTATGTACATACAATGGCTTTAAAGTGCATTGAATGCGCACTAGTTCTGCTAATGAAAAACGCTAAGAATAATCATTACAGCCATATGGAACGTAACGTCAGCGAGAAATGACACGTTAATTTTTATTATGTGCTATTTGTAAATAAAAACAATTAAATAAAATAAAATGATGAGATTGCTTTAAGTTTATAAGTAAGAAATAAAGTTTATAACGATCATAGCTGGATTGTAATTTAATTTAAATATTTCCATGTGTTAGTCATTTGAACTGCACGCCAAATTAATTGTTCGGGCTTAAGGTGCGGAAAACAGGACTGCGGAATAGAGAAAGCGTCATAGAAGCAACCAATCAGCGTTATTCTGCGTTATTCCAAATAGCTGATTGGTTGCTTCTACGACGCATTCTCTATTCCGCACCGTGTGATTTCATCCTTATAAAACGGAACTAGTGAACCCAATTTTCTAATAAAAAATCCGTTCCGTACAAATCATTCCGATTCCATACAATACATATGTATGTATGTATATATGCGCGCGCGCGCGCGCGCGTGTGCGTGTGTGTGGTGTGTGTGTGTGTGTGTGTGGTGTGTGTGTGTGTGGACGATCCTACGTAACGTCATAAATCGTAGATTTTCAGTGCTGGCAGTGAATTTTGGAACACAGGCAAAATAAGAAAATCATAAAAAACACATGAGTCTCGCATAGAGAAATTTAGCCTAAAACATTTTATATCGATGCAATTTTGTCCAATCATTAAAATGATTTAAAAAATGGATCCAGTGGTAAATAATACATTATAACATTTTTATATATCATATTAATTTGTACAATTAAATTAGTGTTCTCTAAAAGAGGCCAAGATGAGAGCGACATCGTAGTTATGTAGTGTATTTGACATTTTAATATTCAGTTTATACAGTTTTGATACATTCTTTATATATTATATATATATATATATTGAATCTACATATCGAATGTTATTACTTACTAAATATAAAAATAAATTATCTTCAACGATTAATTGATTGAGAAAAGACGATTGAGAAAAGATGATGATATGTACTCTCAGTGAACGTAGTGAATTTTACACTTCTAGGTTTAGAATATCTAAACTGTGTGACGGATAAGATTTATCACTTTGCAAAAAGTATCTTTCCACATCTTTCTCTATGGATTAAATTCAGAAACTTTATCATATTAACAGCGTAACTGTTAGACTTATATCTTCGTCAAGATTTACAATACAAATATAAATGCAGTTACAATACAAATCATTTATATTGTAAATCTTGACAAAGATACAAGTCCAACGGACACCGTTGTTAACATGAAGTTTTTGATCCATAAGAAAGGCATGAAGATTCGAAGCACTCTTTGCGAAAGTGATAGATCTAGATTATACAACGATTAAAATAGACATTCTCAATTTAGAAGTTTAGAATTCGATATATTCATTGAGGTCCAGTTTCACGACTTATGCTTGAGAATGTATATTATATATTGCTTTTTTTCAATCAATTAATCATTGAAGATGATTTAAAATAAGCTGAATCGTTCAAAATGTAGATTCAACATATATATGATAAACATATCGCGAAACTATAAAAATTAAACATTAAAATACCATACGCTACAATAACTGCTGTGTTACTTACATAGGCCTTTTTTAACTATAATTTGATTTTAAATATTAAGAGACTCAAATTATTTTTTAATTTTATTTACATTAATTTTTATATTTCCTTAAAGTTCTTTCCAAGCACTATATAATATCGTTAATAAAATTATAAAACAAGTTTTTTGTTATAAAGTCATCTAGAGAAAAAATAAATTTATAATTTTATAAGACTGTACTTTTATGTGTATTCATTTTATGTTACGTTTAATTTATACATTTATTATTACTTTGTATCCCTTAGGCAATTTAATTTACGCACATGCGTGCGTGCGTGCGTGCGTGTGTGTGTGTGTGTGTGTGTGTGTGTGTGTGTGTGTGTGTGTGTGTGTGTGTGTGTGCGCGCGCGCGCATGTCTGTATGAGTGAGTATAAAAAATTGTTTAGAAATGCAGATTTTGTGAGAAAGCTGTACGTTATTTTGTTTGTAAAAAAGTTGTTAAAAGAGACTTGTATGAAATTTTTTAAATTTTCAGTCATTTAATAAATTGTCGCGAAAAATCATCGTAATTAGATAGAATTTAAATAATTATTGACAAAACATTCGTCACATTATCGTCAACATTTACAGTGATTTGAATATTTATTTCATTATAAAAAAAATCTTTGTTATACTTAAAAAATACTCTTTATATAATATATATTTTTACAAAGATATCTACTTTAAATGAGAAAAAAGAGGAGGAGATAGTTAAAAGGGAGGAAGTACAACAGAGGATTAAGATCCCAAGAGCAACACGAGAGGCTGAAGAACGCGCTCAAATGTGGAAAAAGCATTTAATGCGTGAAATTGAGCTTGGTACTTTAAATACAAAACGTTACCGAACATTATGGCGAGAGATGATGACAAGGATCAAAATGCCGCAAATCGCCGAAGATGTGAAGATTGCATGGCACAATTTTGATCGAGCTCTTGATATTAAAGACTACAGGTTGTCATGTGCGTTACAATCTCTCTCTCTCTCTCTCTCTCTCTCTCTCTCTCTCTC